TGGATCTCGTTCTGGAAGCTTCCGAGGCTGGGCGGCCCCCAGGGCCGGAGACCTACGGCTTCCTCACGGGCACCCTCGTCTCCTGCCCACAGCCAGAGAGCCCCAGGCCACAGGGCAGCCACTTGGTTGAGCCAGAGGGAACCCACTTTGGGAACCAGCAACCCCCCATGGACAGAGAGCTGCTGCTGAGGGCAGAGGGGGCCGCACCTGGTGGCGGGGGCGTGGCGGCGGGCAGGGGCATCCAGCCCTCAGGCTCAGCCTTTGCCCCCCACGTATAAATGGCGCCCCCATCCCTGTCTCCGCCTCCTCCTTCCCTCCCCTCCGCGAACGATGGCTGTTTGTAAAATAAATTCAGCCCGCACGCAGCCGCGTGGCCCACGGGAGGGTGGCCCAGGCCCTGGCTTGCTGGTCTCCTGTGGCTGCGTAGCTGGTTTCCTTCAGGCCTCTTCCCGGTCACATCGGAGGCTGTGGAGCCGAGATCTGGAAGTTGGGGTGCTGAGCAGGCCCCGGGTCTGGGCCCTGATGGAGGACGGCCTACAAGGGACCACAGAGGCAGCTGGGCGTCTCCCCGTGGCTCACGGATTGGACCCAACCCATGTTCTGTGTCTCTCGAACCTGGACGTGTGCCGTGACGACGCGTGTGGGAAGACGTGACACGTGGCGTCCTTCCTCAGAGGGTCGGGCAGTGCAGGCTCTGCCGACGGCGTCTCCCCGGTTCCCACGTGGCTTGACAACGGGTTCCGTTTGCCTGGTTGGTTTTCGTGGATTAGGTGGCCGCGTCTCAGAGGATTTGCACCTGTGCCTCCCAGGGCCTCGTCTCCGCCCGCCCGGTGGCCCCACAGGATGGCGGCTCCACAGGACGCCACCGTCCGTGAGGGCCCTGACCCAAGGCGCCTGAATTTGGTGCTGATTTGAAGACTGTGGATGGATGGAGCCTGCAGCTCCTTGACCCCCTTCCAGGAAGAATGAAAGGCCTACTAGGTGTACCGGTTAGTAATTCGGATTGACCCTTTACCGGTTAATAATGCGGGTTTGGTCACCAAAGAAAACACGATAATTTCAAGAGAAACATCAAAAGTGCTTTGTTCAAAGTCACGTCCATCGCCAGCTACACATTCCCCCGTCTTTCGGGTCATTTGTGGAGACCGTCCCAATAGAACTTTTCTTGTTTTGAGGCAGACCATCCAGAGACCCAATTTCCCACTTCTTCGTATGTTTTGAAGGTCTGCTCAGAAAGTGCGTGTGCCGTCGATCGGAACAAGTGCTCATCTGAGGGAGCAATACAGCAAAACAGCACACATATCACATCGCATACATATCCACACGTGTGCAACTCCATCTATTGAGAAAAACCGGCATTATTCACCGGTGCACCTGGTATAGTAAAACAAACAAACAAACAAAGATAACAGGTTCAGGCACTTGCCCGTGGCCACCTGGCAAGTCAGTGGCAAGGATCGGGGGCCTGACCCCCGCTGGCTGGAGCGCAGGGCTGTGTGGGGCCCCGGGACCCCCAGGCACTGTCTGTGTCCCATCGCCTGGTCCCACCCCCATGGCGCCAACGTGCGGGTCTCTCGCAGAGCGGAGGTGGACCGTGACGGACTTGCGGCCTGATTGCCAGTACGAGTTCCGGGTCACGGCCGTGGCTCCCTCCGGCCCCGGGCAGCCTGGGCCCCCCTCGGACCCCGTCTTCGCTCGGGACCCCATGAGTGAGTGAGACGGCAACCCTCATGGGATGAAGGGGGTGGAGGGGAGCTGGGGGCAGCTCTGAAGCCGGGGGACAGGACAGGAGGCTGCGGGTCAGGGACAGTCGGAAGGGAATGGCCAGGCCCGGCCAGTGTGGCTCAGTGGTTGAGCGTCAACCTATGAACCAGGAGGTCAGGGTTCGATTCCCGGTCAGGGCACATGTCTGGATTGCAGGAGGCAGCCAATCCATGATTCTCTCTCATCATGGACGTTTCTGTCTCCCTCTCCCTTCCTCTCTGAAATCAATAAAAATATATTAAATTAAAGAAGAAAAGGCCTCGCTGAGAGGCCTGGGAAACGCAGATCTAGATGCTTCCGTGAGAGGCAGTGGTGGCGAGCAGCTCAGAGCTCAGGACAAAGAGATACAGGATTCTCATCTCTGGGATCTTGGGGATGGGGAAGTCACCCATGGAAGTCCCAGGTGGCAGGAATCACGGGGGGGATGGTGGTGGTGGGGTGGGCAGGTTGCTGAGTGAGTGGAGTAAGCAGGGGAGGCTTCCTGGAGGAGGTGCCGTGCCTCACGCTCCCGGGTGCTCGGCCAGGACCCCCCGGGCCCGTGAGGGACCTGCAGGTCACGGACACGTCGCACACCAGCATCAGCCTGCGCTGGGCCCCGCC